AACTTACACCCTCTGACAAAACTAAAACAAAGCCCTGAACAAACAGCAACAAAACACCAAGCCCTAACCCAGAACATCTGAGTGCCTGTGGATCTGTATTCCTAACAGGCTCACATGGTGCTGATGGTCAGTGCCCACTCTCCAAGAACCACAGTTCTACCCTATCTTGTACACTGGGGATGACTCACCATTGCTGGTTCCTGTTATGGTTTGGATAATGGTTTGTCCTGGAAAGGTTCACATTTTGGAATTTGGTCCTAGTGGGCGGTAATGGGATCCTGGAGGTACTGGCCTTGTGAATGGATTAATACTGTCTTGTGAGAGAACTGAGTGAGTTCTAGCTCTCCTAAGAAGGGTTTAGTTCTTGCACGAGTGGGCTGTGTACATGTCACTGACTCTCAGTACATGTCAGTCAAGGTCTCTGCTCCTGTATGCCATGCTGTAGCTAGCCTGATACCAGTCCTATACCTTTTGACTTTCTGACCACCAGAACTGTGAGTCAAATAAAACTCTTTTTCTTTATAAATCACTCAGTCTCAGGTATTTCTGTTAACAACACAATAGCGCATTAAGACAATTTCAAGATCCCTTCTACAGACTTTAATAGTTTAAAAAAAATACCAATAGGAGTATTTCAGTATTAGTTATCTGTTCTTATATTTACACATTGTCTATTCAACTGGATTGTTAGTTTAATTGCTGTGTTGGGGCTGGCAGGTGACGTGGTGGTTGAGACACTGGACTCCCATATGGCTGACTGCAGTTCGAGTCCTGAACTCGATGACTTGCTTTCTCACTTTCCCTCTCTCTGTCTCTCTCTGATCAAATTAATATAACAATAATGGATAAAATTAAATAAATAGTTATTTTTAAAAAAGAATTACTGTGTTGGGACCAACAGATGGCATAATGGTTACATCCCTGAACTCCCACATAGTTGATTGACTACAGTCTGAGTCCCAAATCCAACTACTCAAAATTCATACCAGGCCCATGTGCGTGTGTGCCCAAGATCCTGAGAGCAGAATGGAAAAGAAGGAATTGCAGCATGGCCATCCCCCCAGGAGGTGATTTCTCATTTTCTGTCTTTCTGTCTCTCTCTTCCTGGTGAGTGCACACACCCTATAGCAAAATCTCTCCAAAAAAAAAAAACCTCTTAAAAAAATTACCGTTTTTATTTCTCTTTTAGCCTCCATGGAATCTATGTTCTATTTTTTATTTTTTTATTTTTTTGAGAGGTTTTTGCTATAGGGTGTGTGTGTTTGTCAGACAGACAGAGACAGACAGAGAGACAGAAAGCAAGAAATCACCCCCCAAGGGGGTATGGCCATGCCACAATCCCTTCTCCTCCATTCTCCTCTCGGGATCTTGGGCACACATGCATACACACCTGGTGTGAGTTTTAAGCCACCAGGTCCAGGACTCAAACTGCAGTCAACTACATGGGAGTCCAGTGACATGGCCATTACGCTAACTACTGGTCCCTCTAACAACTACTTTCTAGATGTAGATAATCTAGAAAAAATCCATACATGCCCTATACATTCAGCCCTGATCTCTGCTCATACCCTGGTCTTTCTCACCTCTATCCTTCAACACTCTCCTGCCTATACCAGAGCACACTGTGTCTGTGCCACCTGGAGGTCCTAATCACAGACCAGGACAAGTGCTCATTATCTTTTCACGAAAGGATGAGGTGCACTACAGACCTCCGTGAGTAGGCGGGACACACACATGCCCATGATCTGGAGCTGGCTAGGGCGGGGATAGATCATGGTGTCAGGACCTTGGTAGGGATGCTCTCTCTCTCACTCCTGAAAGAAATAAGCCAAGGGACCAGCAGTTAGTGTAATGGCTATGTTGCTGGACTCCCACATAGTCAACCACGGTTCACGTCCCAGACCCGGTGGCTTAA